ATTTTTGCAATCCTGGGGACCAGATTTCACAAATCACAAGCCCGCTGTAATAAATAGCAACAGAATTGTGGAGCCGCCCATGAGAAGATATTTCGCACTCGCAGACAGTCATAATATCCAGAAAGAGATGGAAGAGTATTTCAAACCCCAAACTTTTTATCAAATTTTGAAAAGTCATTACAGTATTTTGAAAACACACAATTTCTGGAAAGGCGAAGGCAAACGCACTTCTTAATACGGCGATCGGAGCTCATATCCAAACCGGATCGGTGAAGTGGCTGGAGCACAGTACGATTGAACCACGGCAACCAACGAAACGGTGCAGCAAACGGATGGTAAGTAACAACGTCCAGAAGATTATTGAATGGCGACTCCAGAATTAGACCGACAGGTGGCGAACCAGATTCACTCAAATGCATTGCAGCTGCCGTAGCAACCCTGACATTAATTTATTGTCATTGCACAAGAGAGTTTAAGCTGGTTTCCGAAAAGCACTGTTCCTTACCAGTCAGTTTCTGATTCAAATGTACTATCTCATAAAATCTAATTGACAGGTTAGGTTTAAGCACACGATGCATTTAACTATTTGAAAAGCAGAGGCATTCGTAGCACGTTGACAATGATCGTGACAATGCGCTGCTCTAAGAATTAGCGCAAAAAGCGGGTACTAATTCAACTAGGCCAAATTTATATCACGACGAAAATGCAAACTGTAAAAAAAAAAATTCGCCTTTGCAGTTAGTCGCGAAGCAAGACTGCAAAAATATGAAACACCTTGTTGATATATGCGAAATATAACAACGCTAAAGCCTGAAGAAATTAGAAAAGCATACGCGGTTCCAAGCGAGTGGCCCCATAAAAATACAAGATTTCCGCCGGAACGACTTCTCGCATAGTTGAAAATTTCCACGGCATCCTCAATTATACCGCTTTCAGTGGGTGAACCATTTGAATCACCATACCCTATAAAAAAACTTCATTTTTTTGCGCCGAATTAAGGAAAGCCTGACGTGTAATTTATTTCTGAATGCCAATAAGATAAAGTAAAATCAATGAAAGCTCCATGAAAGTGCTACAAAATGTCAGAACTATGTCAAACCTCGATAATCCAAAGCTAACACATGAAAATTCAAGTTAGCCAATACGTTGTACAACCCACAACGACTTTCTTGTGATCTACAAAAAGAGTAGCGACGATTACTTTAGAATTAAATTAGAGATAATTCGGTTTCTTACTGCTGTGCATCATCGAAGTGGATCCTAAATGATTTTTCCTCCGAATTTACACGAGTTAGCGAGACCTCATGAAGCAGTAGAAAAGCAACTTGCTTTTAATACAGTGAAAGTCAGTTCAGTCCGGTAAACAGGGGCGTGCACCAGGAAGGGAAAGGGACGGTGTAATCAAACTTTTCGGGATCAGTCGCTACTGCAGCTACACAAATACATTTAAATGTGACGGTGCAATCGTGCAGTACTTCAGTCGGACTCGAAAACTGTACAAAATTAATCTGCGCTCGAATCTGAAAACGGTAAGAATGAATCTGACGAAAACACATGTAGGAACAGATTCATAGCAGTGAGCATCTTAAGCTAAAACTTATCAAAGCCACAGCCGAAACTCCTTCGCATGCGCTCTCTATGGGAAGTGGGAGTACTCCGAGGTTAGCAAATGCCAGAACGATCAGCCGTCGTCAAGGCTGTCGATAGCTTGCTCTTTCAGGGGCTGATAGCGGAATAAACCTTGCATAAACAGAAAAAAAGTAAAAAAATTCATGACCTGTCAAACGAATTCCCATGCAAATATACCACTACAGGATAATTCAGTGTTTCCATTAGTCGTTCCATTTCCCGTGCATCTGTTCTGACATCCCAGTAATTGTCAGTTACCACCCTTGGCAGCACATGCCTGGAATAAAACTTAAAAATAATTAGTCAACGCACGGGCTGCTCGTGCGAAGATGCGTTTTTTGTATAGCTCCTCGCAGTTTTTGTCGCTACCGGTATCAGTTTTTTTCGGCAAATGCTTCTAG